TTATCAACTTTGTCTTCTTCATCTTTCATCCTTCATTAATGAAATCATGGATCTATGAACATATTCATATGCACTACACAACCGTTCTTCAATGCAACTATTACAGTCAACACCCTCATTCTAGTTATCGCTGCCTCATTTCTCTCCTCGAGTCCTTTGTTCCCTTCATTTCCTTCTTGGTTATCATTCTTTGTTTTTCTTCAGCTCAAGTTCGAGAACTTCTTTGTTATTTGATCGTATATCAATGCTCCTTTATCTCCATTCTTCGTAGGACACTGTTTTTCATTCCCCCTCCTAACTTCATTTCACTTTGTAAATGTTCAGTATCGCCTTTCACACTTTTTTCAACATTTCAGCGTCTTTATTTCGTCGCACCATACTCATATTATCTCCCACTATCTCTTTTCAACAGACAGAAGGGGTTGGTACGGTCCGTTCGCATGCTACTGCCTCCGCGCTACCCGAGGATAACTCAAACTTTGTCGATTTGACCAATTTCGATAACCCCAACGAGTTTCCAAATGGATACCAGAACGGGTATCAAGCGGGGTATCCATATGAAGATGACGGCGGATTAAGTAGTAGCGAGGAAGACGAGGTGGACAACGCAGACGGGGTACGAACAGAAGATGGATTCATAGTTCGCGACGCCCAATACGAGAATGATGAAAGCGAAGCGGAAGATGATCATTCTGAATCAGATTCTTCATCTTTGTATTCAAACTCTGACGCGGAAATTTCTGAAGAAGATGAACAAGGATCTCAATCGGAAACCTCAGAGTCAGAGGACGGTGAGGAAGTCGAGGATGATGATGTTAGAACTCCTACACTCAGTCCCGTTATCACAAACGAGCCGAGCCCAATGACGACGCCTACTGCATCTAATACAAGCGGGTATGCTATTCACACGTCTCGTACCCCGGAACCTCCTATTTCATTTTCAGCGTTATATACACCTCCTGCATCTGCTCCAGCGGTGGCACAATCAGACTCTTTCCAGTTGAGCTCCTCTCCTGCCCTAAGCGAGTCCTCGCAAGCAATCGTAGTACCACCCGTTCAAGCTCAGCCTTACTTGCGTAATCCACCACCTCCCGCGCTTAATCTCACGCCTGCATCTCCAGATGCTACATCAAATAAATCCGAGGTAGTTACTCCTACAACTGGTAGTGCTCATCCTCCAGCTCCCACTGTACCTTCCCCTCGCTCTCCCGCTAGTAGGTTTCGCCTCTCTCCAACTAGGGCAGCGACGTTTTCTGGTAAGAGCGGTGTAGGTACAGGAACCGAACCTACCTCCCCATCAGCTCAGGGCTCGATTCCTACTACCCCGAAAAGTGCTGGACTATCAAGTATGCTCCCTCGAATCCCGAAACCCAAGTTCCCAAGCCGCAGGAGCACGAGTGCCAATATCATCTCACCTTCGTCAACTCAGAGTCCTATATATGATCTAACGGAGGACGTTCCCCGGTTACCGACATCTGCCTCTCCAGTATCGGCATCGAGTGGATACGCCAATGGGAACATCACAGATCCAGGCCAGTCAGAACAGAAATCCGACAAAAAATCGCGTTTTAGGAAGAGCTGGAGTGGGGTTCGCGTACCAACCCGCCCACGGCGCTCGTTGTCGATGGATTCACCTGTCTCTTCCAGTTCGATGTCGCCTTTCACCACTACCACGACATCCCCTGATTTAGGTAGTGAGGCAATGAACCCGATAGTGAATCACGATGCGGCTACGCAGGCCGCGATGGGGAAGAAGGTCAAGAAACCTGGAAAGGTCTCTAAGAAGGAGAAAGGCAAGACGAAGGATAAAGGGAAAGTAAAAGAGAAGAAGAAGAAGGAATCAACTAAAATCAAAAAAGAAAAAGCATCCACTGCGGCTAGGAGAAAAGGTGATGGGAAGCAACGGAGGAAACGCCCTGCCTATAGTTTCGGTGGCGGAGAGAGTAATGATATTGTCGGCATTGTGATGCTAGAAATTCAAAAGGCGGAAGATTTACCTAAACTGAAAAACAGTAAGTTCACCCAGGGTACGGGTTTTTCCAACGTTAATACTGATCTATGGCTTTCCTTCCGTAGTGACACGAACCGGCTGGGACATGGATCCATTCGTCGTCATCTCCTTTGGCAAGAAAGTGTTTCGCACCCGTGTAATCCGCCACTCGCTCAACCCTTCGTTTGACGAGAAGCTTCTTTTCCATGTTCGGCGTTACGAGACAAACTTCAAGGCATGTCACTCGTTCTAATTATCTACGTCTCTAGCTGATGCCGTTTCTCCCATCAGGTCCACCTCACAGTTTTAGATTGGGACAAACTCTCTTCCAATGACTATATTGGCGAATGTGATTTCGACGTGAGCGAGTTAATAGCAGCATTTGAGGATGGTCGAGGTGTGAATGCAGAGACAGGATTGTATCCTTTGGACGATGGTAAAGGCAATGATCCCAGTGGGATAAAAGAGTTCAGACTTCCGCTGAGGACAGCGAAGGAGATGCCTTGGGAAGCCAAGCATCGTCCGTTTATCTCGTTAAGGTACGACATTGTTCACATTAGGTCGCAGTTCGCTCAACTCGTTGGCCTTTTCACAGGGGCAAATACCAACCTTATGCTGCTTTACGGCAACGCTTCTGGGTACAATATCTCAAGCAGTACGACACTGACGATACCGGCATGCTTTCGCATCTCGAGCTTACTTCTATGCTCGACTCTCTAGGATCGACTTTGACTAATACTACTATCAAATCGTTTTTCACTCGATTCCACAAGGATCCATGGCGAGAAGAGCTTACGATGGCCGAGACAATACAGTGTCTGGAAACAGAGTTAGGCCGACCCGAGAGCCAGAAGAAGAGGCTCGGGGGTGCTGATGACGGAGGATATGAGAGCTCTGTTAGCGCTACTCCGGTCATGATGCTTGCTGATAGGAGAGGGAAGGAGCTTTCTCTCGAACAGCTGGACTTTTCGGGACCTCCGTTGAGCGCAATGATCAGTCCCGGACTACCGGATGCAGAATTTCTGGAGTCGGGTCGGGTACCTGCTCCCAAGGCATACATGAAGGAAAACGGTGCACAACAACCGTTGACACGGGTTGCAGCAGGTAGGGAAGGTGCAGAAACGAATGCGAGCTCCAGTTCGGCGACAACGCCTTCTCGAGAGTATGACACATATTATGGCAGTAGCTCATACTCTTCCTCTGATGCCGATATGGATGGGTTGATGGACTATCCTCAAAACGGTAGCGATGGAACAGGACTTAGGTCTCGTCTTGCCGTTCCTTCATCAGCTGCCCCCTCGAGCACAATCGCCCAACTTCCGAGTAGCTCTGTCACGTTCGCTCTAGCCCCTCCTCCCTCATCAATAGCCTTCTCTCACTCATACTCTAGCTCCGTCAGTGGTACCGCCCCTCCTACCCCATCTGCTGCTACAAATCCCAGTCTCGATTCGCCTGTTGAACGCGTGATAAATGTTCAAACTTGTCCACTCTGTCATCGACCACGATTGAATGCGAAGGCAGAAGTGGATATTGTTACACACCTTGCTATTTGTGCATCGCAGGATTGGAATAAGGTTGATCGGATTGTGGTGGGTAACTTTGTTACCGCAAGTCAAGCGCAGAGAAAGTGGTACACCAGGATCATCGGAAAGATGAGCAGTGGGAATTACAGACTTGGAGCAGTAAGTATTCGAGTGCTTTCTAGGCCTGCTGCTTGTATTTATTCATTGTGCAGAACTCGGCTAATATCATTGTGCAAAACCGATTAACCGGACAGCTGGAAGAAGAAAAAATGCAGGTATACGTGAGGCTGGGAATCCGTCTACTTTACAAGGTCTGTGAAACAGTGTTACATTTGAACTACTTCTCTGACTTGGCTGATCGTAGGGGATGAAATCTCGCATGGAAGGGTCGCGCGCCCGGCGTTTGCTCAAATCCCTTTCGATTAAACAAGGTGTCAAGTATGATTCTCCAGAAAGCGTTCGGGACATCTTGCCTTTTGTTGAGTTCCATAAACTTGACATGAGCGAGGTGAGGGACCCAGTGAAGAGTTTCAAAACCTTCAATCAGTTCTTCTATCGGTAACATTATTTCTACTTCTTTAGAGTTCGATCTGCAACTTATGCTCCATATACAATATATAGCAAACTCAAATCTGACGCTCGTCCTGTCGATTCACCTTCGGACCCTTATCGCATTGTTTCCGCCGCCGACTGCCGATTCATGGCATTCGAGTCAGTAAGTGAGGCGACTAGGCTCTGGATCAAAGGAAGAGAGTTTAGTATTGCAAGACTGTTGGGAGATGCGTATAAGGTGAGACTCTAATCGGAGTATGCTCTCAGCTGGTTACCAACCGGTTTTTCGTCCAGGATGAAGCAGAGCACTACAATGGCGGCGCGTTGGCAATATTTAGACTAGCACCACAAGACTACCACAGATTCCATTCGCCTGTTGATGGGAAGATAGGGAAGATGACCTACATCGCTGGAGAATATTATACTGTCAATGTACGATGAATTTCTGATACAATCAATCACACTGACATATCTTCCTTAGCCGCAAGCCATCCGCACTGCTCTGGACGTTTATGGCGAGAACGCTAGGAAGATAGTTCCCATCGACTCACCTCAATTCGGGCGTGTAATGGCTGTGTGCGTAGGCGCGATGATGGTCGGGACAATACAAACTACGGTTGAGGAGGGCCAGTGGGTTAAGCGTGGGGAGGAATTTGGTTATTTCGCGTTTGGTGGGTCCACAATCGTCTTACTGTTTGAACAGGGTGTGCTAGAGTGGGACGAAGACTTATTGATAAATGGCCGGGCAGCTTTAGAAACTTTGGTCAGAGTTGGGATGGGATTGGGTACAGGATTGAAAAGGGGTATCTCATAATATTCGATCGATGGTTTTGGCAATGCCCCTACCCTGTATTGTGTTGACTTGTACACGTTTTCACTATACACTCAACAGAAAAGTACACAATCCCAAAATATAGTTACAAAAAGACGTTGCTTGCTCCCTGCAAGGCTCGAACTTGCGACCTCGAGATTAAACAGTCGCAAATACCGCTCATAACAAGCTATGAGACTCGCGCTCTACCGACTGAGCTAAGGAAGCATGCAAATTTTTGTCAGCACAGCCGGGAGAAAGGACTACTGAAAGGAACATGACATATATATATACTTTATGATCAGCAAGTATACGACAAAATGTGGTATGGGGTCAAAAGTATGCCCCTACTATAGCTTTTCTCTTTTGTCAACTTCTTCTTTGGCCTTGTCTTTTTTCAACTTCTTCTTTGGTCTTGTTTCTTCCCCACCTCCGTTGCTAAGTCCACGACGTTTGTTGGCCACCCTCTGCAACGCGCTCTTCGTTTCTCCGTTCGGAAATGAAGCCAAGTCGAAGTATACCGGGGCATATTCTAATAACCACTCGGGCTTGACTTCCGTGACTGTCCTGATATATGGTCTCTTTGTCAACACAAATTCGTTGAACAAAACCCATTCAGGTTGCGAGTCTAGTCCACAGGAAGGATGAAGAGCGACAACCTTGCTGGAAGTCAACGCCAAAGATTTAAAAATAGTCAGAGTAGTACTTGCCTGGTTATCCTTAACCGTCAAATAACTGCCCTTCTCTCCTTCCTTATGCGCAACTTGCATGAAAAACCCACATGTGAGTGCTTGCCGTATCCCTACATCCAAACAATGAATAAGAAAAACGATCACGCCATTAGCTGACTAGATTTTTACTTACCTATGTTCCGCTTCCTTTCATCTTCCAAACTTATAACATCTACATCGTACTTTTCCATCGTCCTCAATAGTTGGGCACGAACGTTCTCCGCCTGTGCGAGTGCCCGAGCCGACAGGAAGTTGTTCCAAGCCCAGTTCCGGTCGTGCTTGTCTGAAAACCAGAGCTATTAGAGAGAAGAATACTACCTAATGTATGAATTTGAACACCTACTCTGATAGTAGTTATTGAAAACATTCAACATCGTCAGATGGTCGCCCTCAGGAACAGTGAGCATGGCCTTCGCCTGGTCTGCGGCGGCTCGTTGATTTGGTGGTCGGAGCCAGACGTTCGGAACTAGGGAAAACACACTCAGCAAAAATTTGAGAAGAGAGAGGGAAGTAAAACTGACTACTCAACATAGCCGTGATTGTCAGTATCTCATTGGAGACTCTGAACTCGGGGGACACAATCAGCATTTTGGCAAACTTGAGGAAGAACCACAATGTCAGGAATTTAATTGGGTAGTACACAGTCAAGATTCACCTGTGGATCTAATGGGAACTCTGCCATCACTCCTCCTAGTGCTGTCAATTCACCGTCGTCATCCAGTGCAGCTAGATAGTTTAGTAATTCTAATGCGCGCATGAGGGTTTCAGGTGCAGGTGCATCGAGATAGTCAAAGCGGACGAGATCCTGTTGAAAATGAGTGATCAACAATTGATTGAAAATGTAGAAGCGAAGATACCTTGATTCCCAACTTAGCCAATTCTAACACCGCGTTGGCAAGATTGGACCGCAGTATTTCGGGGTGTGTCTGCTCTTCGAGTTCTGATATGAAATCCTTCTCGGTATACAACCTGCGAGGAAGACGAGAACAAGTCAGACAGAGATTAGTAAGGATATATCGGAAGCCAAACCCGACCTGAAGCATTTCCCGGGTCTAGTACGCCCTGCACGTCCAGCTCTCTGCTGGGCGGAGGCTTTTGATATTGGTGATACGAGTAATGACTCGACCCGAATCCTTGGATTGTATACCTTTTGTTTGGAAAAGCCCGGATCGACGACATACACGATTCCATCGATGGTGAGTGAAGTCTCGGCGATATTTGTTGAAACAACTACCTTCCGCCCTGGCGGATAACCTTCCTGTGACGGTTTTGGTGCAGCGTCGAAGATACGCTGTTGTTGTTGCGGAGGGAGGGAGGAGTATAAGGGTACACACATGAGCGGGCCTACGCTCGAAGGATCCGCGTTGAGCAGGTCATCTGCTTCCAATTTGATTTTTCTGCACGCGTCCTCTATTTCTTCTTCGCCTGTAAGAAAGATCAGAATGTCTCCTGGATCTTCTGCGCGGTGAATCATCAGTACAGTGCGAATGGCCGCTTCGACATAATCCGGTTCGGGTTCCTGGGTATAGAATACTTCTACAGGGTGCGTCCGGCCAGGTACCTTGAACAGTGGTGCAGGAGAAGGTTCTTCACCGGCCGCGGAGTCGTGTAAGGAGAAATATGATTGGAATTTTACTGCGTCAAGTGTGGCAGACATAACGATGATTTTCAAGTCTTTCCGCCGCTTAGCAAGGTTTTTGAGTAAACCCATGAGAATATCCGTCGCAAGAGTTCTTTCGTGAGCCTCGTCCAGAATAATCGTGCTATACCTCGATAACTCTTTATCATTCATCGCTTCTCTCAGCAGCATACCATCTGTCATGTACTTGAGAAAAGTCGTGCCCGACTCCGTCATATCCTCAAACCGAATGGAATACCCCACTTGCTTTCCAAGCTGAACATCCATCTCATCAGCCACACGCTGAGCAACACTCATCGCAGCTACTCGCCGGGGCTGTGTACATGCCACTAGCTTCCCTTTGGTATGCGGCAAATCCGAGTAGGTGACAAATTGTGGTATTTGCGTTGTTTTTCCTGACCCGGTCTCTCCAACCATGACTATTATTTGGTTTTTTGAGAAACGTTTGAGAAATTCGTCCATTTGTGCGTAAACCGGTAACGCGCGTCGAGCTTCAAGGATCTTTCGGTATTGCGCAGAATGTGGTTGTTTGGTGAACGGATTCAGTTGATGATTCATTGCTTGTCGGACTTGCTCTCCTTTCACTTTACGTGGAAGGAATCCGAATAGAGGTTCCCTGTCCGATGAGGAAGAGGAAGTGGAAAGGGAATGTCCTACGCCTCGCTGAGAAGGGGGGAGATGCGCTAAATAAGGGTTGTCGGCCATCGTTATACGTGATCCTGATTTATCCTGTAAGCGTGGCAGATTTCTGGTATATCCACTCGTCAATGAGATGGTTTCCCGAGAGAGAGATAAGAGGATCCGAGCTGAAGGAAGTGTGAAAGAAAAAAAAGGCTAATTATGTAATGCGCGTCGAACTTAAGCATAGTTTAGAACAATTCCCAAACTCTCCCTCAGCTCAGTAGCTCTCTGTGGATTTACATTGTCTGCAAACATAGGTCCTACATATGGTAGGCTGCTATAAAGCTGTCAGTCTGGCAACACGAGAATAGCCTCTCTACATGTTTCAAAGACACTTACAGCGATCAAACTTCCAACGTACATAGCCTTTTCACAGCAAGTCGAGCAGAGTATAGGTTGGCACGCAGCCCATACATCTAATCCGCAATCCGGCGCAATGAGGGCAACAGCTATGGTCATTGTTCAAGCGAGGCTGAAGGATCTTCTGACCCGCAAGTATGTGAAGCACGTATATCGGGATGTACCGCTATCTAAGTGCATGCAAAGCTTTGAGTAAAAAAGCTCTAGATGAGTTCATATGTTGTAAGTTTAGGGGATGATGGATGTGTATAACAACTCCCTATACTTTGTTAACCAGATGGCGGCCTTTGCATGCGCTTCAAGTGTGCTACTAGAGCTTGGAGGCAAAACATTTAGAGGAGTTTACATTGGTACACTGTCCACAGCCAATCCACGGCACCTTCAAAGCTTTGGCTTATCAACCAACACATTATCTCAACACTGACACTGACATGTACTGCCAAGTGAACAGGAATGGGTCCTGACCTGCGACTACAAATCATCCGAAATCATTACAGTCAAGACACTTTGTAAACTACTACAAAAAAGTTGTTCAGCCAGATGGAAAGAATCCGGATATCACTGCTAGTTTTCTGCTAGCATATCAACCAAGGACGAATAGGAATGGTTCCAAACCCCTGGATGACGGGCACTGGATTGTATCCATCTGTCACTCTCTGATGCTTTTCTTGACCTGAACTATCTTGATACTGGTGCTATTAAGCCCAGACTTCGTTCGAAAACTCCTTGGGTTGGACCCTGGTCGGAGCGTGGACTGTCTTTTACATCTTCCGGTAGGTGGTTCTCTCGAAAGCGTCATCGTCTGGTACATCTCCCCCCCAAAATAAATAAACTTCTGAACTTATTTTATTCCTCGGTGCTATACTGATGACACTCCATACGAACAGGACCTTCTCTCGCTTTTATGCGCTAGTCGCAATTCTTGAAGCCCTCGGAACTCATCCTTTCGTTCTTTTTCTATCTCACTTTCGTTCTTATCCAGTTCAGCTTTTTCCTTCCTTGTGCAAGCACACAATGCACTACCGGTCCTCATTATCCGCGATTTTTCCATTTTCTCCTTCCTTCGCGCTGCTTATGATGACAATATCAACCAATGCTCAGATGCCGCCGGATGCGAACTTGTTCCAGTGGAAGTTTTCTGATAATGTGAGTTGCCGCCTCAATTCGTATCCCTCCAATCTTATTTATCATTACAGTTTTTGGGCACTGAGCTTCCATCATGCCAATCTTTTGGCATCATTGTCGAGCCTGTGAATGCGACTAACGTTACACATGGGATACCTCCATTCTATATGATCGCCTGGGAAATTGGTGGTACTCCAAGGACGACGTTGCTTGGGTTGAACGAGAGCAGTCTGGATTGGACGGTAGATCATCCGGTCGGTGAGTGGTAACCCTCGTGCTCTGTTCCCCGCTCATTCTATTTTAATTAGGATCCTCATTAATGCTGAACGTCGTGGATTCCCAAGGTAACGGCGGAGGCATCCCTCCCGAACGTTACACAGTACAATGTGTGTTGCAAACTCTGCCTTGTGGCTACATCTGTTCATATAATATCTATCACAGCTGGGCAAAGTACAGAGTGTGTCGTGAATAACAACCAAAGCGACTTTACTGTCACTGCCAACATTACAGACTCTGTAAACACTTGTCAACCATACGGTTTGAGGATTCATGGCGGAGTCCCTCCCTACAATCTCTCCCTAGCTCAGTTCAGTTCGCCTGTAGTCACTAATGTGACAATACCAAGTCCACAGGATGCATTTACCTACATTAATAGAGCAACACCAGGTTTTCTTCTCCTGGGTGAGTCTTCG